TCATTTTCTAAGGCTTCTAGCTCCTCAGGAAGGGCTCGACCCACCCTCTTAAAAAATAGTATCAGGAAGTATAGTCTTTTACCTATTCAAACCTGCTTCCGAAACTTTTCTAGGATTTTTTTAAAGCAGTTTCCCCAAAATATTTGAGAAAGTCTTCAAAATCCTATTTCTTGCATTTTCGACCCTTTAGAGGCCCCGGGGACCAAATCCGAGGGCTGATTTAGAATCCTAGCATCATTTCCTTGCAGAAATAACTGTGACCTGCCTTTAAGAGGCCTCCGGTGCTGAAAAACTGAGATTTTTCAAAATAACTTACATTCAGGTAAAAAAGGACCATAAAGATTGTGCTGATATCTATTGACTTCGCAATTGTTTGCCCAATAAATTGAATTGAATTGAATCTAACTATTTACTTTTTTTGGTATGCAGCCATTTGATTTTTGATGGGCTCCCATTGATCTAGCCACAGCTTTCCCACACAGTGTGCACTCTTTTTTGGGTAGTTTATGTCCTCTCTCTGGAAACATGTTTGCCATTGCTGCCTTAACTCTTTCATCTTCCTCAACTGACAAGTTTGCATGGGTTGACGTGAGATGATCCTGCAATCTTGCCTTTTGCCCACCTTGAAACGTTTTCTCACAGACTGGGCACATGATAACTTTCCGATTAGGACGCTTTCTCTTCCCTAAAGCAGGCGAGTCTGCAGCTTCTTCCTCTTCTAGCACCTCATCTGCACCTTCAACGTTCATTTCCTGCATCAAAACAACACATTTTCATGTCAAAATTTGGGAAATAAAATGTAATTCACAGATGGAGCAGTCCCAACAGAGGGAGTAGAAATAACAGAAAAATTACTCACAAATGATTCCCTCCACAGATGTGAATGCACAATCCTATTTTAAAAATTTGGAGAGGACACAACTGGTACCTTTCCAGCCTTGTATGCTTCCAGCAATTCAGGACTTTGAGACTTGATAACCACTGTCAAATCTGCATGGACCTCGCCGGGCCTGAGGCAGGAGGCAGTTTGGGAAATAACGTCCTGACTACAGTATCTTGCAAAATTGTAACAGAAGAGGAACTTACATGCAGGTACACTTCGGGTACACAATTCCATAGGGTAGATAGGCCTTGGAGGCAAAATTAGTTGCCTCAGCACAGTTGTTCCCCGTATTAAAGCCAAAATGGGCTGCATTAGGTGCCACGAGGACACCTTCCCCATTTCTCTGGACAACCTGTAAGAATAACATGCATTTGTACTCATTCTCTATTACCCTTCACAGATTGCTTTATATCTAAGTGATCAGGCACACATTAGAAGACTTTACCACTTTGAAGGGTATTCCATTTCTTCTCAACCAGGCTGGCGTCGGGACAAAGTATTTGTGGCTAAGGAGTCCAATACATGTTCTATGTTGTGCTGGGCCAGCAAACTCTCTTGACAGAAAATGGTGTAGTTTGGAAATGGATGTCGGAGGCACAACCACCCTAAAAAAAGGACAGAAACATGATCTTAATGTTGCGGCAAGGAGGGAGGGAGGTATAACAAAATTTTCAAAATTCAGAGGAACTGTTAAGAAATTACCAAATCTTGGGGAACCCACGTCGGTGGAGGAAATTGATACTGTACATTGAAAGGTCCTCAATATGTATCGGAAAGAAGCTGTGTTTTAATCCAAAATACATATAACTACTATTGATTCCAGGGTAATTACCATCTAGGAGGCAAGTTGGAGTAAAACAGTTTACAAATGAAAGAGAAAAATTTGAAGACAAACTTTCCACGTTCAAGTAGAATATATAATAGAATACCTGAACTTGAGCGCGGACAAACATGGTTGCAGTTCTCCCTCATATCTTTTCTCTCCTTTTGATAATCAAGATTTATTGTAGTTATCAATTCATTCCTTTCCTTGAGGTCGTTGGTACGCTCTTTATATTCTTTCACTTTGCATTTTCAAAGCATCATTTTCTTGTTTTAAAACTTTCATGTGGACTTTCATGCTGTTGCACCTTTTCTTTAAGTCCACAACACTAACAATAAATGTTTTAGATGAAGGTTCTGGTAGTTAGTCATCAGATTGTAACATGCCACTGTTTTGGCCCTCTGGGAAATCAAACACAGCAATGTCGGGTAACTTCTGAAATTAATTGAACAAAAGTGTCAAACACAAATCTCAAACAAAGTGGAAACATAAAAACTAATACAAGCAGTGGTCCTTTCAGAAAATCCTAATAATCAATGATAGATAGTAGACAGATATTAAAAAAACAACATGTAATGACCAGAAGGTAAATCAGCCCAACAGCACCACATTTTTCAACTGAGATTAGAGCTATGCTATTTACAGTGACTTTCAAAATACTTGCTTGCCAGAAACCTTACATTTTTCTAGATAGATGGATTCTAGTCTTTCAGTGCAACAGTATTGACAAACATGATTGCACTATACCAAGTCAACACGACGGTTGACAAGATGGTCAGCTCACAAATGTTGGATTGTCAATAAATAAACTGGTACCCTTGTCACAATCAGAGTCAGCGATTCAGTTCCATTGCACTTTTTTCCCGTGACGTGAAGCTATGTGCATCTTCTCATTTGCCTTCAAAGTCAGCTTTCCAAGTCATAATGAGAATACAATTTGATATCAACCACACCTGCAAGCTGTAAGATAAGAAGGTATTGGTTATTTTTGGAGTAATCAGTCAAGTTTTATAGTGGATCATAGAACTTTGTCTTGATACCTGCACGCACATATCACTATTCTGGAAAAGGCTGCTCTGCAGTGACGGTGCACAAGTTCCACAGCTCAGCCAGGTCGAAGATAGAATGGCATTGCTTGCCACGCATGACAAGTGAGGTCACCACCCCTCCAGCACTTCCCATCTGAAAAACAAAGAGTCATAAAATGCATGAATCAGCAGAAAGTAACAAGACTACTACACAACAAAAAAA